GAAAGTTTACCTGAAACACGCAGCCGAACATTTAGCTAAAACATTCAGCTGACACATTCAGCTGAATGTTTGGGCCATAAAGTGTCAGGAGAATTCAGGTGAAGGTTCATGGATGTTCATCACTGCTCATGTTACTGTTGAACCATGTGATGAGGACAGAGAGGAGCCTGCAGGCAGCTGACGCAGGCTGGAGGAGGAGCGTTATAAAAACACTTCCTGCACACTGTCCGGTGCAGATCCTCATGACGAGGCTCTAAACACGTAACTCTGAACATCTGTAACATCTGTTTCACGACTGTCTGTCCTCTCATGTAAACTGGGTTAAAAATCTTCTTCTATCTTTGTGTGGCTCCTTTTTTAAGTAAGTCGATAATGAAAGGGCATTTTTATCTAACAACAATCTAAGCTCCGCCCACTCCAGTCATCAGTTCTTCCAGTTCCACATTTTTGTGGTTCTTTCTTTGCTGTTTTGAAGTGAACTTCTAGAAATCTCTGCTTGGATCGACTCGTCAGGTCTGTCGTATTTCAGGGATTCATTGACAATAAAATGATTAAAAAAACGCAGCTGCAGACAGAAAAACGCTCCGATTTCAGCTGAAACCAAAGAAACACGAACTGAGTTGATTAATGAGAACGAGTCCCGGATTAACTTTCAGCTCCTACCTGGTGCAGGTGTGCCGACTGACCGATCAGCTGACCCGCAGGTCATGATGGCCGTCAGGGTGCAGAAGAGGAGCAGCTTCATCCTTGGGCTCATCCAGATCTGTGGTCTCTGCAGAGGTTCTCAGTGTGTCTCTCAGTGTGTCCTCTCAGTGTGTCCTCTGTGTGTCTCTCAGTGTGTCCTCTGTGTGTCTCTCAGTGTGTCTCTCAGTGTGTCTCTGTGTGTCCTCTCAGTGTGTCTCTCGTGTGTCTCTGTGTGTCCTCTCAGTGTGTCCTCTCAGTGTGTCTCTGTGTGTCCTCTCAGTGTGTCCTCTCAGTGTGTCTCTCAGTGTGTCTCTCAGTGTGTCCTCTCAGTGTGTCTCTCAGTGTGTCTCTTTGTGTGTCTCTTCCTCTGACGGGGTTTTGTTTTGTTCTGCTCAGACGTCAGCACTTTCGTTTCTCTTCCTCTTCGCTGCAGAGCCCAGACAGGAAGCAGAACAGATTTTGTGCGTTCGTTGTGAATGACGGTGGTGAACACGTGCCTTGTTGTAATCCTGAAGCTGCTGGTTCAAGCCCAGGTTGTCTCACTGTGGCAACCCCTGAAGAAAAATTGAAACAATAGCAATGTTACTTTTTTTTTTTTTCGGCTGCTCCTTCTTCAGGGGGTCGCCACAGTGAAGTCACTCACACGAAGACTTGGAGATTGTTTTTACGCCGGACGTCCTTCCTGATACAACCACAGACCACTGAGCTACCACGGCCCTCTGTGTGGAGCAGAGAGCTGCCATCTAGGGGGAGCAGATGATGGGGGTTAAAGGCCTTGCTCAAGGGCCCAGAGACGGGCAAATGAGGTGGAGGCAGGGGTGGATGTTTCACTTTTCCCACCCACATTTTGATGTCGGTCTGCGGAGTTGAACTGGCGACCTTCTGATCACTGGCCAACCTTCTCTAACCTCTGATCCACCACGCCCCATATTTATTACATTCATTCAGTTTTTCCTGTACATTTTACTCAATGTGGGGGGGGGGGTGTCTTCAGCTCAGATGGATGGATCAATGAATCTCGTCCTCAGTAATGAGGGCGTTGCTTCAGTCAGTCATGGTGAAGAAAGAGTGAAGTCGAAAGGTAAAGCTCTGGATTTACTGGTTTGTCTATGTTCCAGTGTTGTAATGTAACAAAGTAGAAATACTTCGTTACTGTACTCAGGTAGAATTCTGACATATTTTTACTTTACTTCATTATTTACATTTCTAGAGACTATGTCTGGGTTTCTGTCCTGGACCTGACCCAACCCACAGATGAGCGATAAACGATGGAGATAAGATCCCACTGTTTTCAGGCTCGAGACAAACGACTAGTCATGAGTAGAAAGTTTAGGGTCATCCAGGTTTTTATGACTTGAAGACATGCTTGTAGTAACTGAATGGATTCATCGGGCTTCATGGACAAATATAACTGTGTATCATCAGCATAACAATGAAAATGTATCCCATGCTGTTTAATAACTTCACCTAATGGAAGCATATAAGGTAAAGAGTACTCCAAGCACTGAACCCTGAGGAACTCCGACTAACTTTGGTGTAAGAAGAAGATTCATTATTTACTTTTACAAACTGTAATCTATCAGATAAAATGGTTTAAATCATATTTATCTGATGGATTCCAGTTTGTAAATTGACTCCTGAAGAACGCACCACCTCCCTGCAGGTGGGGCCTCGGCACTCAGATTGTTGTGGTTCAAGGAAATCACAGCGGGCAGTCCTGTGACAACTCGTTCCTCCTCATCAGTCGGGCCGAGCCAGTTTCCTGCTCGTGTTCAGTTCCAGCACCAACATGGCTGACTGTACACGTGTGACATAACTGAGATACACCGGCCGCGTTACGCAACATCCTGAAAATGATCTCAAGCTCTTCAGACGTTTACAGGCTGACGACTCGCAGTAAACATGCCCCCCCGTGAATGTGTAACTGACAGAAACATGTTTGGCTTCTGTCTGCTCCTGATACTTCCTTTATGACATTCTGACCCCAGATCAGCGTGACCTGAGCTCAGTCACGTTTGTTTCAACGTTCGGACCATACATTGATTAATGATCGGAGGAGAGGCCTTCCTTTGTGGTTTAAGGGAACTCTGAGCTGTTTTTCACACGTCTGCACTGCCAGCGTGTCCGTTTTATCACGCACCATAAAAACAAATTGCTGTTTTCTGACACGATAAATGTAAAATAAAAAGCTGAGTCAAACCTTCATTTACAAAAACTAAAATTCTTACACAATGGTCAAATGCCTCATTAAAAAAAAAAAAACATTTTAAATTCCTGTTCACAAGCTGCATTTGTCATCAGATTTTATAATTTGAAATTGAGGTCAGATTTCTCTGCATGTGTTTATAAATGTTTAATTTCTCATGCAGCCTTATTTCTATTTTATTTTTTAATCAAATGAAGCCTAAGCAGGTATAATTTCCAAAATTAAACATGACAACGTTATTATTACAAATTCTATGATTTATTTATGTATTTTTATCTTATAGATAGGTTAGATGTTCTTTTTATTTTTTTAATTATGACGAAAGAAATATTGTATTATTTTGAAAGTGTTTTTGAGCGGAAATGGTCATTTCCGGTGTTGGCCGCGATTTTTTTTTTTGTTGTTTGTTTTAACTTTCTTTAGATTTTCTTTAATATGAGTCAGTCAGTGAAATAAGTAAACGAACAAATAAATAAATACATAAACAAATAAATAACTGCTGTTCTATTTACTTTACATGGGCGGAAGTGACGTTGCCGGTGGTTTCCGGTGTTAGCAGTTGTGTTTTCGTGTTAGCTTCCACGGTGTACGAGCTGACAGCAGCCTTGATGACAGCATGGAGGGCACGGACACAAACAGGCCGCTGCTGCGCTATAAAACACAGACACGGAGGAGGCAGAAACAGACTCACAGCGACCCGAAAACAGACGCTGTTCCCCGGAAACCTTCAGCCGAGGCTCCGTCCTGATCCGCCATGGGCGTCATCATCTCCCATCTGTTCTCCAGGTTCACCTCCAAGACCCCCGTCAGGATTTTAATGGGTAAGATTTGATTTGTTGTTGTTGGTGCGTTTGTTTATTATTTACAAACCCATCTGCAAACATCAAGAGTTACTGGTATTTAATGAACAGTACTGTGTATATAAATGTATTTAGCTTTTATTCTTTTAAATTTAAAACATCAGTTCAGGATTCCTGAAGGTTTTTAAAATATTTTTCTTGTTTTTATTTTTCACTCGGACTGTGGGTCCTGTCATTATCTTTTTCAGATAAATTATTTTTTATTTTCTGAGCTAATTAACTGAATTATTGTGTAAGTGCACCGTCTCTGATCAGCTCAGTTCAAACCTGAAACTCGTGTTTTTACACCAAGGTCAGAAACTTTTAAACAGATTTAATTATCTGTGAAACTTTTGCTCCTCACTAAAGGTCACGTGTCCTTGTTGTTTATTTATTTGAGTAGGTTGACCTCATTGGAACAGCTCCAGTTCATAAACTGCAACACTAACACTGTTCAAATCTAAACTAAATGAATAATTTGTGAAAGATTAAAAAGGTCCATTCCTCTGCTTTTGATGTCCAGATGCAAATAAAGCAGTAAAATGGGACTTTCTTGAATTTAAGCAGTAAAAGTTTCAGATCACTCTGTTTTAAAGCGTCTGACCTCGGTGTAGAAACTTTTAACCCAATTGTTTAATGAGCTGATTGTGCACAAAATAAATTAAATTGATGGAATAGTACTTTGTCAACTTGCTGAATCATAAGCCAACTTCAGAGGAGAATCAGAAGCCAACTTCAGAGGCTGCTGATCTCAACAGATGATCCAGTTTTGTGTCAACCTTTAACAGAAAACTGAACAAAAATCTATTTTAAACTGAATATTTAGGCTCTTTATTATTTCACTATCCAAAACGTGCAAACAAAAACACCGGTACGAGAATGAAACGATCTGTGCTACATTTTATTTTACCCATTGACACGTTTATTTTTTTGTTTTTTTTAAGCCTGAATGATTGTGAAGTCAATTAACAAATATGGACACGTTCCTCTGAAAATGGACAGAAAAGCAGCCGAAGTCCAAACTGACACGAGAGAGAATCTGCTGCTTGGAAGGAAAATGTAAAGTTTTGTGGGGATGGTTTAAAACATTTGCACAGCACTGTAGTTTAACACAAACAGCCAGTGTGTGTAAACAAATATACATTCAGGTCATAAGATCTAAAATCCTGAACAGGAGAACTTTAAAAACCACCAACTGATAAACGTGGATGAATAATAATAAATAATGTTGAACGTTGAAGTCGGAGCAGAAATCTGATTCGTTTCTGCTGGTCGCAGTTTGATTCGTCACATCTGAATTTCTCTGGCGCTGCAATCGTCATCATAACTTTATGAATTGTGTGTGTGTGTGTTTCTGCAGTGGGTCTGGACGCAGCAGGTAAAACGACCCTCCTGTACCGACTGAAACTGGCCGAGGTCGTCACCACCATCCCCACCATCGGTGAGTTGTTTACCCGCTTGTGTTTCCACTGAGCGATTAAAATAAACAGAATAGATCATATAAATGTGTGTGTGTGTGTGTGTGTGTTCAGGGTTTAACGTGGAGACGGTGGAGTACAAGAACATCAGTTTCACAGTGTGGGATGTGGGCGGTCAGACCATCATCAGACCCCTGTGGAGACATTATTACACGAACACGCAGGTAAAACTGCTGCGTCCTGCAGCGCACGGACCACTTCCTGTTAACGTGCACGTTTGTTTGTGCTCTTTAGATAAAGAACAAAAAGATGCAAAAGTGATGAAAAGAAGAAATTAGTTAAAAATCAGTCGTTTGTTTTTGAAGTTTGGCTCGAGAGTTATTTTAAAAATCGAACGAAGTGCTCGTGATAAACAAAGATGGCCGCCTGAACTTGATGTTTAGTTGCAGAACTTTTCGGACCGTCGAGACATTTCTGGAGGATTTAGATCAGGGCTCAGGGGGCCACTTCAGAACAGTCCGGTGTTTGGTTCTGACCCGTTCTCGGGTGTTATCGGGGTCCCGTTGGACTCATCACGACTGAGACAGAACTTTCTGACTGAGCAGCACCAGTCGCTCCAGAAGACCTCGATGGTCTTGAGATGTCCATGAACCCTGCACAGATGCAGCTCCAGAACAGAACCGAGCCGCCTCCATGTTCCGCTGCAGGTCCAAGGTTCTGGTCTTTGTTTTGTTGTTGGGTCTGTGATCTGTTGTCAAAAACCTCCACCGTTGTCTCGTCTGTCCAAAGGACGTTGTCCCTGAGACTCTGTGTGGATTTTGACAAACTCCAGTCTTTTTCATGGTTGGACGTCCTCGGTCGTCTTCCATGAGGTCCAGTTTGTCTCAAACCGACGACACCGACTCGATCTCTTCTAATCTCTGTGGAAGTTGTTCTGCTCCGTTTGGTCACCCTCGTATGATCCGTCTCTTCAGTTGTGGACATGTCCAGGGAGGTTGTCTTCGGTCCTGTGGACCTTCTGGATATTCTGTGCAGCTCAGTCAGAGGAACATCAGCTGAAGTTTGATTCTGTGCTCCAGTGTGTTACACACCATGAAACCAAACAGCCCTGTGACTACCTGACTCCCGACTGGAGACGCCCAGGACAGGACACGCCTAGTTTGACATGTCCCTGTGGTCAGTTTTGTCTTTGGAGGACATTGACAGATGGTTTCATCACTTTTGTCAGTTTCAAGTCGTTTCAGGAACTTGCTGGTTTTATTCGTTCTTTAACAAAAGGAACAAACGAACGTGTCCGTGTCGTTCAGCGTGTTGTCCCTTTTCACACGAATACCAAGTAAAGTCACATTTGCTGTTTTGTCTTCAGGGTTTGATCTTTGTGGTGGACAGCAACGATCCAGAGAGGATTAAAGAGGCAGCAGACGAGCTGCGCACGATGGTGAGGAACAAAACCAGTTGCTCCTGAAACCTGCTGGGTTTGTTAACAAAACTCCAGTTTTGGTTTCAGGTAAAGAAATGTTCGTTGCCATGGAGACGATATATATGATGTTCTAATTAAACCTCAGGACCTCTGGTTCTAATGTGATTTAATCCGAGTCACTCGAGCGACCTGACAAAGCGTTGTGTGTTGTGCAGCTGGAGGAGGACGAGCTGAAGGACGTCTCTGTGCTGGTGTTCGCCAACAAGCAGGATCTGCCCAGAGCCATGTCGGGCGCCGACATCACCGAGGCTCTGGGCCTGTTAAGGGTCCGGCAGCCGGTACGTACCTCCGGACCAACGCCCAGGTTTCCAAATTAGACGGGTTCTTTTAGGGTTTAAAAAGTGTATTCTGGCTGTTGATCCGGTCTGTGTGTGTGTCTGTGTAGTGGTTTGTCCAGGCCTCCTGCGCCGTCAGCGGCACCGGTCTGGTCGAAGGTCTGGACTGGCTCTCTGACCAGATCATGAAAAAGTAGCAGCTGAGGTTCTGATTCACGCCGTTTCCCAATGAGTCTTTGAACGCATCAGTGAGTGGATGGATCCAGGAGGACCAAAGATCTTCTGAGAACTTGTTCTGCTGAACCCGAACTGTTTGTGAGGAAACATCGGACCTTTATCTTTTCACTGCTGCTCTGAGGAAAACTCTGATGGTTTGGAGTAATAATATTTAAAAGTTGCTGATGTCGATCTAAAATACTTCCTGCGTGAAGTTTCTGGGTGCAGGAGGAGACCAGGGCCGTGGAGCTGCTGGGCTCCAGCCTCTGCATCAAGTTTCATAAAAACTCCTGTGAACTGAAAGTTCTGCACTTTACTCTGGACCTGAAGCGTCGTCTTGTTTTTATCTTCACGTCGATCTTTTCAGTGAAAATGTTTATTTATTGTTTAAATCATGTTTTATAATATTTTATAATTAAAGTTCTCTGGTGGTTTGATTCAAACAGTCTGACGTTTATTAAAGGTTTCGTTAACATCGAGGCACCACGTGGGTCTGTCCACGGAGGCAGGAGGGCCCGGGACAGAAACCCAGACCTCCTGGGGGGTCCAAAGGTGTTCCCGGGCCATGGAGGTCTCAGGGTCTCTTCCAAGTGGGACGTGCCCAGAAAATCTCTAGAGGAGCAGTGGCTCTACTCCGAGCTCCCCCCAGATAACAGAGCTCTCCACCCGATCTCTAAGGCTGAGCCCCCCCCCCCGGGCCCCACGAAGCCGTTTGGATCCAGTTCTTTCAGTCCTGATCCAAACCTCGTGACCACAGGTGGGGGTTGGAGCGTAGCAGACCAGTAAACCTAGCGCTTTGCGTTTTGACTCTTCACCATGACTGACCGAAGCAACGCCCTCATCACTGAGGGCGAGGCCCAGATCCGTCCAGATACCTGAACTCCTCCTGAGGTGAAGACCAGTCGTTACTCTTCCACATAAACATCGAGCAGCTTTTAAATAAAACGTGTCGCTCAGTTTGTGAAGAAAGTCCCAGGACTTCACCGAACAGCAAAGATTAAATCTGCAACAACAAAAAGGTGAGATTAATGAGATTATGGTGGAGCTCATAAAACCCAGCGGCCTCTGCAGCTCAGACTTCAGAGGTGAAACCTCACGTCGCGGTTGAACGAGTCACAGGAAGTCCGACTGAACGGCCATTTTGATATTTTGCAGTTTTTATAACAAACTTTTCCACCGAGTGATGGACCGACAGTTGACGTCTTTAACTTGAGCTGTTGAAGGTTCTCGAACCGTTGAAACAGCGCGGCAGTCAGGGAGTGAGACACAGGTGTGTGGTTACCATGGAGACCACCACAAGCCACTGGCAGCAGCAGTAACGTCTCATTAACAGCTGACGTCGGGTCAGTCTAAAACGGGACTGAAGGCGAACCGAATATTTTCCAGATTAGGTTCTGCAGCAGAAATAATTTAATCTTAATATCCGAGCACTTTTCACAACAACGGCGTCGTCCTGCGGTCGTTGCAACTTTCAGACGCTCCGGCTCTTAAACATCACATGACTCACACGGGAGACTTTAGTGTTTTTATTTGACCTCTGAAGCTTTTTCTGAATCAAACATGGAGACGTATTTACAGAAACCGTCCGAGAGAGAAACTTTTACACTCGTTAGAGAAAATAAACATCCTGCCCCGAAACAAGAAAATAATTTATGTTGATTTTGGCCTTAAAATAAACATCTGACTTTTTAAACTTCCCACAAAACAACGTTTACAAGAATAAAACCCAAACTTTTCTAAACTTTAAACGAATAAAAAGCTTCATAAAAATCCACCAGAAAAGGCAAATTAGGTAAAAAATAAAAATTAAAAACAATAATCCCAGAGAAGAAACGAGAACTTTGTTGTTCTTCACGTTCCGACTCTGGCGTGGATCATTTTGTTGAAGCAGATTTTAATACTGAACTCTGAAATGTGTTGGAAAAACCATCTACCAAGATGAAACGAGAGAATTCAGAGAAATGTGAGCTTTAACAACACCAGAGCAGCTTTTCACCAAACCAGACCGGACCGACCAGAAGAAATCAACCCAAACCATAAAGAACCAACAAAACTGGATCGCCCAAACCAGACCATCCAGAACAATCCAGACCGGACCATCCAAGCAAATGTTTTTACTGCAGTTTTTATTTTTGTTTAATAATTTAATAAATTTTGTGTTTTAAAATCTGAGCAGAAGGAAAAACATTATTTATGAAAACGACGTCAAACGTCGGCACTTTTAAGAGTTTATTTTATATAAAACATTTTGTCTGCTGCAGAATCAGAGCTGAAGCTTTAAATCCAGGAAGTCTGCAGGAGTTTATATTTTACTGAAATAAAAATGTTTGGTGGTTTATTTAACTTTATCTTCTTATAAAACTAAAGTGAAGCTGCTGAGATCTTTAAATGTTTCTGAACTAAAACAGGTTTTTATTTGTCGTGTTTTTAAATAAAGACGTTTAAGTTCAACACCGAGCTTCATTAACCTAATGTGTAAAAAAATAAAAACCTGCCAACAGCCTGAGTTTAGACAAAACGTCACGTTTGTTCAGGTTTTACTGAAACTGCTTCAGAAACCAGTTTCAGCTCTGGACGGTTTGAAAGTGACGAAGAGGATGAAAATAAAAACAACCTTTATTTTAACTGGAGACAAAAATAAACTGATCTGGAAGAAAGAACTCAAATATTCAGAGTTTACTCATTTATGGCAGCGAGCTTTCTTCTCCGAGCGCATTCGAAGGGTTTTGATTTCCCACGAGTGTTGAAGGGAAGTTTGGCACCGTCGAGAGTTAAAATCATTAAATCAGTTTCTCAAGGTTCAGAGAAGAAAAACGCCACAAACAGACGAGTGAACGCTGCAGAAGGTGGAGGAAGAACTCGTGACGAACACAAAGACGTCTGCAGAGAAATGGTAGGAGCAAAACCCCCCCACCAGGAGATGTAAAAAACCCCACTGGCAGAAGTAAAAAAAAAAAAACACCGACAGGAGCAAAAACCCCTGGGCAGAAGCAAAACCTCCACCGGCTGGAGCAAACCCCCCACCAGCAGAAGTAAACCCACCACCAGCAGAAGTAAAACCCCCACCAGCAGGAGTAAAACCACACCAGCAGGAGTAAAACCACCAGCAGCAGGAGCAACACCTCCAGCAGGTCATTTTGGACCACGAGAAAACAAAGAGCTGCTCCGTATTAAACTCAGGACGTCTGTGGAAACTAACCTGATGGTCGTTCACAGCCCACGAGCTTCTGAAGTTCAAAACTCAACGAGCGACGTTCATCAGAGCTTTGATTAAACTGATCTGAAGAAGAAGCTCTCTGGATGTTTTTACGGTTTGTGGAAAAGTAAAAACGTTCTCCTCTTTGAATTAAACATTCTTACATCTGTAAACTGACAAAAACTAGAAGAACAGGTTCCGATTCCTCATGGTTCTGTGATTTTAGCAGAAATCTTGATTTATTGTGACTGGCCGACTCTGAACATTTTAATCTATCAGTCGTTTCATTTTCTGCTGGATTTCAGAGACAGAGCAGCTGGAAAGTCAATAATTAACTGGTTAACTGTTCTAAATATTAATTTTCATGTTTGTTGCAACAGCTCCACAGGGCCACGTGCGGCCCCAGAGCAACAGCTCCACAGGGCCACGTGAGGCCCCAGAGCAACAGCTCCACAGGGCCACGTGAGGCCCCAGAGCCGCAGCTCCACAAGGCCATGTGCAGCCCCAGTGTAACAGCTCCACAGGGCGTCTCCAGAGCAACAGCTCCACAGGGAGTTTCCAGAGCAACAGTTCCACAGGGCCACGTGCGGCCCCAGAGCCACAGTTCCACAGGGCCACGTGCGGCCCCAGAGCAACAGCTCCACATGGCCACGTGCGGCCCCAGAGCAACAGCTCCACAGGGCCACGTGCGGCCCCAGAGCAACAGCTCCACAAGGCCACGTGCGGCCCCAGAGCCGCAGCTCCACAAGGCCACGTGCGGCCCCAGAGCCCTCGTCTTCTTCAGCTTCCAATAATCTCAGTAACGCTTCACAAACTCAAAGAGGAGAAAATACGGCAGATTATTTCCAAACCTGGGAACACTCCATGAGAATCAACAGGAATTTATGGGAATAAATCTGGAATTAAAAACACTTAAGGCAGGGATTATTAATGTAAAAATATTTAACACCAGATTTCACCGCTGCTGCACCGTGTTGTCACCTGCTCATGTAGATATTAAATACAAACTACGAAAAGAAATTTGTTTTGAGTTAAGTTTTGTTAAATAAAAATGACTAAAATTTATTTAGTTTTCACCTAGAAAAAATATCCATAAAGCCAAAACAATAATAAAAATAAACAATTCCGTTTATGGTAAAATTGGTCAATTTTTTTTTTTTTTTTTTTACCTTTTTAAACTTTCAACAATTTTGGGCTCTGGAGTTTCCTGATGTTTGTTTGTGAAAACAAAAATTAAAACCTGAACATTTTTGTTCGGAGTTGTGAATTTAGAAAATAGTTACAACCAAAAAGATCGAGATGTCGAAAAGTCGTGTTTGTTTCCTAAACTTCGGCTCAAACTCCTCGTCTGCCGAGCGAAACAAAAAGACAGTTTGATTAAATTTCCTCCAGTTTTTAGTTTGTTCTCATAAATTCCCGTAACTCAAATGGAAAACTTCCATTTCAGACGTTTTTCCAAAAATCTCAGTTTACCTGAAGTTTCATCTTCAACCTTAAGAACCGACACGTTTGTTTATCTCAAAGGATTCTTATTAAAGACCCGAGAAGTTTTTGACTTAAAGCAGAGAATTAAATAAAAACTAATGACACGAGAACAGAAACAAGATGACTTCATGTTCAGGACGACAGGAAGGCCTCTTTCAAAATAAAACCCTGCGCTGTCTTCACCACTTATTTAGCATATTTCAACAGATTTTATTTTACAAACTGCTGGAGACACCAGATGCGTCTCCGTGTGGACAGACCGGTCCAGACGTGTCTCCATGTGGACAGACAGCTCCCACAAACCCAGGTGTCTTGAAGCCAAACTGTTTTATGATCCTCCGTCGTCCTCGTGTTCGCTCTTATTGTGAAACGATAAAAATAAAAAGTTCAGGTTAATTCAAAGTTAAAGTCTTTTTCTCTTCGTGGAGTCGTAGAAAAGCAGCTGTTTTTTTTTTTTTCAGGGATTAAAACTCGTTAGTTTCGTCTTCCTCTCTCCTTCCCCCGTAGTGAAGGGTGCGTTGGGTTTATCCTCCATCGCAGACTTCCAGCAGAGAGGAAACGCTTGTTTTTCAGTCCCAGGCAGCCCGAGCGGGTGGGTCGCGTTCTCCGATGATTCCTGAGCTAAAACCAGCCGGGCCTCGCCTGGGGGCCAAAAAGCCGTGATCCTCCGAGGGCCATCAGGCTTCAGACTCACCCCTCTTCTTCCCCTCCTCCCCGGGGTCGCTCTCCTCCGACTGGCTGCTGCTGAGCACCAGGAACTGTCCGTCGGAGGCGGGGGGGTTGGCGGGGCGACTCGAGGCGGCGATCAGGCGACTCTGCTCCTCGAGGTCCTGCAGGTCAGACGGAGAGAAACAAGACGATCGTTAAAATAAACGCCTTTAAGTTCGTCAAAGGTTGGATCAGATTTTATGGTTCTCATCCGGAGCAGGATCAGAGTTTTATTTTTGATCACAACAACTGAACGAAGTGGATCTCCAGATCCAAGCGTTTGATCTGATCGAGCTTCAACTCCAAGTTCTGTTGAAATGTGACCTTTTCTATCTGTCGTTGTTTGCAGAGCTCCTCCTGCTGCTTCTCTTTGGCCTTGTCCTGCACCTTCTTCTTCTCCACCGCTTTGCGGTCCTGCAGGAGCAACAAACACTAAAATAAACACCCACAATGCACCACGGCGAACCAGCCCGGGCGCAGGTTGATCCAGCCTCACCATCTCCGAGTGGAAGGCGATCTGTTTGGCCAAACCGATGCTGTCGCAGATCTGAAAGACGACAGGAGGGTCAGACACTAAACGCAGCGTCAAACCGCGAGAGAAACAAGAACAACCTTCTCTCCGTCGTTGTTGGACTCAAAGATGTAGCAGACGACTCGGCTGTCGCCCCGCCCGCCCGCTGCCGCCGCCTGCAGGACGAAACCAAACAGCCTCTTGTTGTCCTGATGGGACGAACACTGGACTACGCTGGACAGAGGGAACTGCAGCGGGACAGAGGACGAGGTCAGCAGAGACACGACTGGACAACAGAGAGAAAAGGAGAGCTGGTCTCACCCGGAGCCGAGTGACCTGAGTCTGAGGATCGATGAGCCTGAAAAACAAAAACAAACCGTTTTAATTATTTTAGAGGACGTGAAAACAGTGAAGACACGAGGCTGAAGCGACGACTCAACATTAAAACTCCAGTTTCTTCAGAACACGAAAAGGTTTTATTTTGGTTGAAATAAAAGTAACTCTTTGTTTTTACACAAAAACCCGATGTTTAAATTGACTGATAATCCGACATGAACATCACGTCTTATGTTTTATTTCTATTTGCATTTTATGTTTTACTCTTTGTAGTTTTTTTTTTTTTTTTTACCCTTTTTTAATACATGGTCAAAATAATCTTTGTTTCAAAACCTACAATAACAAAAGGAATTTTAAAAAACATTTTAAATATACATTTTTGTGTTTCTTACCAAAAAACAAAACTTTTAAATTAGATTTAGTTAAAAAAAACACACATTTGTAAGTCAAATTTTAATATTATATTAATTATTATATTAATATATGATGTCCCTGTAAATTATTTTTTATTTTTTTATTTGACTATTAATCCCTGATGGGGAAAATTAATTATTTGCATTTTTCCCACTGCACATGCAGAGCACAGCGCTGACATCTGGGGCGCCCGGGGGTGCAGATGGTGGGGGTTAAGGGCCTTGCTCAAGGGCACAGAGTGGGGCAAACGAGGGTGGAGGCAGGTGTAGGTGCTTCGGCTTTTCTACCCACATTTTAAAAATGTTGTCGGTCCGGAGTTGAACCGGCAACCCTCCGATCACAGGCCCACCCTCTCCAACCTCTGTGCCACAACTCCCCCTAGTGGTAAATATCTGCATTTATACTTAGAAAAATAAAATATTAAATATCTTGTCTCTGTGGTTCTGCTGAAAATTATTTTCTCTCATAATAAAAATAAAAGTTCTCCTGAACTGTATCCAACGGAGAAGTTTGAACGAATTTAATTTTGAAATGCGGGTCCGCACTCTGTGTAAACAAAACATTTCGGCTGAACCTGCTGAAAACCAGGTGGAGTTTTTTTTTCTTTCATTCATTCATTCATTCAACCTTTATTTAAACAGATGAGTCACATTGAGCCTCGAAGACTCATTTACAGTGAGACCTGTTTGGACCAACAATAAAGTGGTGAAAGAGACAACAAAGGGTTTGGAGGCAAAAAAAAAAATCCTAACATGCTCTTAATCTTTGGTTGAAGACTAATGGCCTGAAATTGAAAAAAATAAAAGCCTCGCACACGCACAGAATAACGTCGACATTTCGTGCGTGGGGGGTGGAGGGACACAAGATGTTTGAGTCACGCGATTGACCTGGAAACAAATATGGCAGAATCCGACTGTTAGTTTTAGCTTTGACCTACTTTCAGTCACTTCGGCTGTTTTTGAAGGTAAACAAACAAACACTTGTAGGTCACAACTTTTGTTTACAAATTCAACCGATTTAAAAAAAAAAATGCTGATTTTATCATTTTCTCCAATCTTGTTGACCTCAAAAAAAAAAAAATTATAAAAAAAATTTAATCAAATAAATAAAATAATTTAAAAAAAAAAAGATCTTGACCTCTAATCCTGCAAGATGTTTGTTCAACGGTCTCTAGAGGGCGCTGCTGGAACAGACTAAAAAGCAGCCCACGAGTCACAGGTGAGGTTCTTGAGATGACACGAAGCCAAACCTACGAATGAACCAAAGAAAGCGAAGCTGCGGTTCCTACTTGAGGCAGTCGCAGGTGACCAGCAGGTGAGACTCCGTCATCCTGAAGATGTTGTGGATCGCTCTGGCAGCCAGAATCTGCCTCATGGTTTCAGAGATGACGTCCACCGACTCGGTCGTCCTCACCTCCATCGAGCCGAGGAATCGAACGATGAAGAGCTGGTGGAGGATGGAGTCTGAACGACAGGAGGACAGACAGGTGGACAGACAGGAGGACAGACAGGAGGACGTTTATTTTAAACGTCACAAAACGAGCTGACCGCTGAAGAAAGCAAAAACGAGTTACAGTAAAACACCGACGGTACCTTCACTGTCCTCTGGCGAGTTCTCTCCCGACTCTCCGAATGGATTACTCCGTCTGTGGACACATCCGGTCAAGTTACCATCACCAGCACAAACCGGACCAACAACCCTCCTGCTGCCCTGGGGTCAAAATGACCCACAGGGCCTCAGTATCAAGACCGCTTCTTTGCGGGTCGTTTGGACCTGAGGGCAGCAGGAGGTTAACCAAAGTCTCCTGGTTTCTCCTTCACCCACCGGCCGGACAGCGCTGCCGTCTTGTTCTGTCCACAGGTGTCCTCACTGACGGGGGAGATGATGTCAAACTGGATGGGCGTTTCCGGGTCGACCAGAGCGTCCAATGAGAGGACAGAAAGCGCAGGCGATGGCTCGGAGCCCACGGAGCTGATGCTGCTCGCTCGGCCCGTTCGCCCTTTACTGGAGCAAAGACGAAGAGGAAACAGCTGAAATGACCTGAGCACAGCTGGAGCAGCTCAACTTGGAACTGTGAGCTCTCTGGAAACCTTCTTTAGGTTCTTAATGACTCGCCCGGACCGTCCTAAACCCGATTCTCAGCCCAAACCAGAAATCCTCAGAAGCTCCAGGTCTTTGAGGTTCTGTGGGGACGTGTAAAGAGGACTCCCTCCCAAACCGGCCCAAACAAAGCCAGCGTTTCCTCCTACCTGCTGGGTCTCATGCTCTCGTGTCTCTGTTGGAACGATGGCGACGGCGTCACCGCTTCCAGAGCCGTCTGGTTCACTCTGGCTGCCAACTCCTACCAACAACACCAACCGGTCAGAGGAGCTCCATAATGAGTTCTTGGATCTGAGCTTCAAGGTAAAAAAAGGTGGGAAATGGACCAGACCTCCGCGTTTTCACTCAGGTAGATCCTCCTGGAGATGTTGTTGATGGTGGCGATCCACTGTTGGAGAGGACCACAGATCCAGCATGAGGAACAAACAATCTACACAAAAGGAGATTGAACTAATGGTTCCCAACCCTGATCCTTGGGGAACACCATCCTGCACGTTTTATTCGTTTTCCTGCTTCGACACACCTGATTTAAATGAATGGGTGATTAACAGGCTTCTGCAGAACATAAGTAATTAAATCACTGAATCAGGTGTGTTGGAGCAAGAAAACATCTAAAACATGCAGGATGGCATCCCTCAAGGATCTGGGTTGGGAACCATTGGATTAAACAAGAGTGAAACATTTTACCTCTTCACATTCCTTCCTGCTCTCCGCCTGCAGCGTCACGACTCTGATCAAACACAAAAACAACATTAAATTCACCTGAAAGTCTTAAAACAACAAACGGTGCTGATGTAAGCAGCGTCTCACTTCTTGCCGTCAAAGGACGTGACCTGAAAGCAGAATCTGCGGTCGTCGCTGTCGACAGCCATGACGGAGCAGTTGTCCAGGTCCGTGACGAGACCGCCCGCCACCTCGCCCCGGGCCTGCTGCATCAGGTTCCCTCCCTGCGTGAAGAAGTACTGACGCTCCCAGGACGATGACACCAGGCCCGTTTTACTGTCGGACACGACCCACATTCAAACGATGGTTTTCAGAGCCGGCTGAGACACGAAGACGAAGAATCAACACATCCAAACGAGTGTTTGTGTCTCACTTGCGGATGTAAAGGTAGCCCTGCTTTCTGGTGAGGTTGCGACAAACAGGTGACTGGACGGGGTCCGGGTCACATGGTGCATACATGGGGTCACATGACCTCTCCATCTGTTGGATGGTCTGCTGCATCTGCCCCACCTCCTCCTCCATCTCCCGGCGTACGCTGCAAACACACGTTCAACCACGTAGGTCACGAACTTCACACCTCTTCCTGTTGGAAGTTCAAAATAAGCAACTTACTTCTGGACGCTGGTTCCTATGGTTCCCAGGAAGTCCTCCCACTGGTGGGTGAGGTTTTCTGAGCCCAGCTTGAAGAAGCTGATCTGCACAGAATGAAACAGATCAAAGATGAAAAACCACCCGAGTGTGCAGCAGTAAGCTTTGGGACCAATTCAGTGAATAATGATAGGAGGTGTGCAATTGCATGTGTGTGTGCATGTGCAATGGTGTGCCACAAGGCTCAGTTTTAGGACCCACTCTTTTTACAATTTATATACGCGTTTTCTTTACATCGCATTTAAGATTATTGTAACTCTTTGTATTTAGGGTTGGACCAGAGCTCCCTGCAGTGACTGCAGAGCGTCCAAAACGCTGCAGCCCGTCTGTTGACGAACAGGAGGAGGTGTGAATCCATCACCCCCACTTTGCACACCCTTCACTCACTCCGTTGCTTTTCAGGTGAAATTTAAAGTTTTATTGTTTAAGTGTTTCAACTCCATGGGCCCATCTTAAGCGAGCTGTTGCCTCCCTACACTCGATCCAGAGCCCTGAGGTCAGCCGACCAGCTCTTGTCGGCCGTCTCTAAAGCTACGTTGAAGGCTGGAGGTGAAGGAGCATTCACAGTGGCAGCACCCAGACTGTGGAGCAGCCTCCCTCCGTCTGTGAAGCCCTCTCCGTCAGTAGATCGGTTCAAGTCCAGACTGAAAACATCTATTCTCCTTGGCCTTCAACTTCACTTTAACTTCAAATTAGTATTTGATTGATTCGAGTTTTGGGGAAATTGCAGCAAATGAAATAAAGTATGTCTTGGTTTTCATTTGTACTATTATTTTATTGGTATTTTACTGCCAATTTTTAAATCAGACTTTTATTTTTTAAACAAAATGTTATTTCTTTTATCATATATCTATGATGTTGTAATTATTGTGAAGCACTTTGGTCAGCTGAGGTTGTTGTAAAGGTGCTATATAATTAAACTTTGACAATTTATATAAATAATGTAGGTCAAACATTCCCGACGCCTCCCTGCATCTCTGTGCTGACGATTCCACCGTTTATTGCAGAGCCAACACAGTTGCCAAGGTTTTCCAGCTTCTACAGTCTGCATTCGACCTCATTCAGTCTGACTTGTTCCACCTCAAACTGGTGCTAAATGCTGATAAAACCAAAGGGATGTTGTTTTCCAACAGAAAGTCAGTGCCAGCAACTCTTCCTCCCATCTCATCCATGCACCATATTCATATCGTTTGTGGATTCTTACAAACACTTGGGAATTTTAATTGATGCACATCTCTCTTTAAAGCCGCATGTTGAAAACTTGATAAAGTGAAATTAAAATTGTTTTCTTTTCCATTTAACTCTGAATGCCAGAAAACATCTTGTAGCTGTTACCTTCCTACCGGCCATTGACTATGGTGACATTATTTACATGAATGCCCCTGCCAGCTGCTTGCAGATGTTGGATGCCGTCTACCATGCAACTGGCTGCATCCATCGTAGCCATCACTGCACCCTGTACTCATTGGTCAGTTGGTCTTCATCATCTACACGTAGGCTCTCACTGGTTCATTTTCATCTATAAAGCCCTCCTTGGTCTGTTACCTTCTTATAGCTCCTCCCACTTGTCACGCCGTCTGTGCAGTTACAACGTGCGCTCTCAGGCCATCATTACCTGCAGCGTCCCCTCTGGACTGAACTTGGCAAAAAGGCCTTTTCCTACTCGGCTCCTGCAACGTGGAACACCTTGTAACAGGAGCTGAAGTTGTTCAATTTGACCTCTTTAATGGATTTTAAACAATTGATGAGGTCAATAGACAAATCAAAGCAAATATGTTCTTGTTTTTAGTATTTAACCCTGTTTTATAAGTTATCTTGATTCGACTGTGTTTAGAACTTGTTTTATTTTTGTTGAATTATTGTGGTCTGTCTAAAACTGGTCTCTCTTGAAAATGAGTCCTCGTGACTCAGTGAGACTAACCTGTATAAATAAAGGGTGTGTGTGTGTGTGTGTGTGTACCTGAGCCTGCATGTAGCCGAGCAGCGGCTCCAGCAGCGCCGTCTTCTTCTTGTACTGCAGCGTGTTCAGAGAGCAGAAGTAGTGCATCATGGTCTGGTGCTGCTTCTTTCTGGAAGTGTAGACGTCCTCCACCACCTCCGCCCGCACCTGAAACACACACACACACACTTTAGTTTCAGCGAGGAGACCGATAACATGATACGCTGATATAATCTCTCTTTGGAAAGATAATCACGTTGCATTCAGGAAGCTGCACATCAAAGAAACTGAACCTCGGCGCAGACGAGTTTGAAAAGACTCAAAACGCAGACGGGTCTCGCCGCATCCGTCATTTACTGTAAATTAAATCAAAACAGAGCAGACGTCTTCTCTGAAGCCAAGTCTTCAGTCTGCACTCGCAGATTTTTATTAAAACGTTTGAAATAACCGAGCAGGAAGAATCAGACGAGTTTAAAAACGGAAGCACTTGAAGAGTAAATTATAAAAGTTAGTGGAGAAAAACCGATCGGATGATTCTCTAACAGAAGTCGGTTCCTCCACTTTACTCACATGTCAAACTCAAGTCTCCTTTGAATACGTTGTAGTGAATCATAGTCATGTTGATAAAAACCTTGAACAGTAAAAAGTCTTTTTAGTGATTAAAGTGTTTATTTTATTTTTCACCTTGTCGTTGTCCTTCCTCTTGGACAGGCGACTGTATCTGTTAATGGCTGTGTCGTGATCTGCGAACACACAAACAAGAGCATTTAAAAAGATTATAAACCATTATTTACACGTTCCTCTGATAAGGATGAAGAATTTGAACATTAAAGACTAAAACAGGTGAAATCTTCCATTAGGCGTGCTGAAAGGAACGTTAATCAAACGCAGTACGAATCGTTTACGGCACAAAACCGCTGGATACAAACACTCTTTGGTCTTTTTCCTATTTTAACCTCTTCCCATCTTTACTTCTAAAAGATTCTGCCTCTCTAAAATGCTCGTTTTACTCCCAGTCCTTTGCCAATGAACCCAATTCATTGTAAAATGGCTCCTCCAGCCGTTTCTTGCCCCCGTCCCATTTTTAACGTGTTGCTGCCACCAAAGTTAAAACGACCTCATCTTTACCTAAAACTGTACTTTTTGTCGTTTAAATATTTGATATAAATCCCGAGTTCCACTGTGAATAAACGACGGGTTTACAAGACGGAGTGCTGATAATAAACAACATTTTTTAATCAAAGTGTGGACAATACTCTTCGCTTAAGCCCCATTAACGAGCAGATATTCGCAGTTTAAGATGATACTTTTTATTTTATTACACACCAGCAGATGTTCAAGAGTTGAGGGGCGTGTAAGGTCAGTGAGCAGAAAGACGACTCCGGGGCTTCTGGGAGAACGTTATGAACATTTTACACCAACGAGCAGTGAGAACATCGTCTTACCGTCGCTGGCTATCTGGAAGACTTCTTTCAAGGTGAGGATTTCTGGAAAGAAAATAAAAAATAAAAAACACAGGGGATGCAGTTTTTGTACTTTTTGTTTCCGTCAGTGGATGAAACAAAACCCGAGTGTCGTGAATACAGAACGTCATCGATCGTTTGTGGCTAAATGGCAGGAAGCCGTTACAGTCGGATTTAAATCTTCTGTGGAGCGGAGGGAACACTTCTGACTGAATCCCTGCGGAGTTTAAAAAGTGTTCCCTACCCTTCAGTTCCCTCTCCTTAAACTGAGTGATGGGAAACATCATGGCGTCGGCCAGCTGGGTGGACAAGACGGCGTGGCAGGAGCTCAGCTGGGAAGACAAAGAGATTCAGAACGAGACGTCGGTTTAAAACCCAGAAAATCAGGACGTTGAAAACGAACTCCCCGGGCCGACGATCTGTGGGGCGTCCGTACGCTCCCTCACCTCATCGATGACGTTTGCAAACTGCTGCAGCGTGGAGCTCATCACCTCGTCGTCGCCCCCCAGAGGAAAACGCTGCAGGGAGAACCACAGAAGAAATGAATAAAGTCCGCGATCCTCCTGCGACGGAACAAAGAGGCCACAATAAACTGCGAGACCTGCGGTTCTGACGTGCGGCCAGAGATGACAGGCTGCGATTGTTGTCGAGAGGCTGAACTCGCTTTATGACCCGAAAAGGAAGAAGCGGGTAAAAGACGACGGATGGATCGTTTTAGGAGGTTATAAAAACAAATATTGTTGTACGAGGACCAAACGCGTTTGAGCAGGACTGTGAAGTTCATGACGAGAGTCGTCGCGCTGACGACCAGAGTTTTATAGAGCCGTCGTAACGTTGTGATTTACACCTGAAGGAGGTTTCAACTGTTGGAGACTTTGCAGGGAAGTTGTGAGAAATCAGTTTTGACCTCAATCTCCCTGAATTCTGAGAGTACACTATTTTTCCTTGTATAAGTTACACTTTTTGCATAAATTGCCCTGCGACTTATACAAAGAAGAAACTTGTGCTTTTTTCCCCCATATTTAAAAATTGGGTTATAAATATGGGGGGGGGGGATACTGGTAAGTCGCTTCGCTGTATTTTTATTTATTAACCTGGTTAAATAAAAGGTTAATAAATAAAAATACAGCAAAGTGACTTATTTATCTTTTTTCCCATATTTATAACAAATTATTGTCCGAGATCTGACGATTTCATTCATTCCGACATGGAAAATATTGAACACTACCATTTGCAGCCGTTAGAGGGCGCTTGACCTATATGGCAAGCCAAGTGTCTCATTAATGAGTAAAAGTGGCTATTAATGAGACACTTGGCTTGCCATACAGAGACACCATCATCTCGCTCCAGAACTCCTGGAGCAAACGTCAAATCAGCTGCACTTCGCCGCCCAGGAGAAATGAAGCTGATTTGACCATTAATGAGCATTTATTAAGTAAAAGTTCAACTGAGACACACATTTGCTATAATGTTGAGCAAACAATTGTTTTTAAGTGTCAATCTTGTTAAATTCTTGTTAAAGTCCTCCCGTGCACGCTCCTGCAGCTCCCATTTGGCAGCCAATCGATTGTTGGCACAAAAATCCCACTTTTCCAGGTGGTCAGCAGTGACTCATAACAGATGCAACTTATACGCCGAAATGACGTAATTATGTTTTTTCCACTTTATTAGACACATTTGGACTGATGCGACGTTTACGACAGCAAGTACGGTATGTGACCAAACAACAAGAAAACTTTTCTCTTTCAGTTTTTGAACATCAGCCAGCTGTTGCATCTTTTGTGTGTCGTTTGCCGAACTGTATTTTTAGCCTTTGTTACCTTTAAGGGTTAATCTGCTGGAGCACACTTTGGAAACGAAACTGCCAGTGCCGTTTTAAACCTAGACTTAAAAGTCTCAAATGTTTTCTGTCAGAGGAGCCAGCACAGCTGCGGTGCTCTTGAGACGGGTCGGAACGACCTGTGGGACCATTTTGAAAAAAATATTTGTCACAAATTTACTGAACATGCTCAAAACTCGCCTTCATGACTCACGGCAGGAAACTGAATGTTTGGAAACGTTCCGGAAACGATCACGTGATTCACCAGAGCTGCTCGTTTCCCCCCCGAGTTCTTAGTTTTAAAAACATCCCACGCTCCGTGACGAGGTGGACGCGGGTCAGCGTGACCAGATGATGACGCGCTCTGTATCCCGACACCTGTTCTACCGTCCGAGCTGAATCAAACAGCAGATGTAGGACGTGTGCACCAAGGCCTGCTGGATCTTCACGAGCCCAGCAGTTCTTCTCTGAACCACTTTCAGAGGATTCTGAAAACCGCACAGCAAGAAAATCCAACCACAGAATCAGCTGTGACCCGCATCACCTCAGATACCTTAAATCATCACAACAGTGTCATCAGGTATTAATTACGACAAACGATTTGCTCGTTTTGTTTTTGCCATTCTAAGCAAAAACCTCAGGCTGGTAAGTGCAGTGAATATTCTGGATGATGGAGTTTAACAAAAAGTACAGAGCATGGCACCTTTTATCACCACGCTGAAACCGTTTAGTTTTAGGATGTTCTTGTTTTTTTAAACACCAGATTTGTTGCTTGCACAAATCTTTGCATGATCTGAACGTCACAGGACTCTACTGGCTGGTCCCATGTCCAAATCGAAGTTTAGATACGACTCTTTCTTTGCTTGAATATAGAAAATCTCAGATTTATTTATTTATTTTTTACCAACTTCAGTGAAAAGCTTGAAATATTTTAAATGTTCCAACGTGTGGGGGAGAAATGTTTTTTTACTGACGTTACACTGATTTTGTTGGTGTATTTTTGATATTTTAACACTGGTTTTGAAAGTTGTTCCGCACATAAACTTTATTACCGTCACAAACGTGCATCAAGCATTAAAAGGCTTGATCGTGCCGCAAGGCAGGTTGCAGGGAAAGTTAGCTACCTGTTTGTCGTACTCCTTCAGCAGCCTGGAGGTCAGATGTGTCGCAGCACTCAGCTCATTCTGAAAAAGCAAATGGCAACACTGACCGGCCGCAGACACACAAAAATACGCGTTAATGTGTGCGAGTGTGTACCTGTGCATCATAAATCCTTTGCATGGCCTCGTACAGCTGTGTGCAGTAGCTGGAGATGGCTGCTGTGTCCTCCTCAAACACTCCCAGTAAAGAGCGGGTCTACAAATGTAACAGAAAATGACACAAGGGAAACGTGCAACAGTCTGAGTGACTCTTTCTGCAACAACAAAAACAAAAACAGTTTATGCAAATCCACACCTTCACCTGACTGCTACCTGTCCCTGAAGTCCAACTGTGGACTCAAGGTGTGTCCACTAATTTTTAGCTAATCTTTAACTCATAAAAGGGAAAATAAACAATTGAGAAACGTGGTTTGACCATAAAAACAAGTGGGACGTAACATAAAAAGTCCAAATTCCTTCCAATCAGAGCCCAAACGCTGGTAGTTCGTTTAACATTACAGGTGTGTGCTGACGTCATAACAGCAGGTACAACCCTGGAGGCCACGCCCCGATCAGTGACGTCACAGCAGGTGTTTTGGCCCGGATTCGCTGCAGGTAGGTACAGTAAAATCATTAAGCAGGATTTGTTTAGACGTTTTTAACTAACAGAGCAGCTGAAAGCCGAAGGATGACACCAGAGACTGAACTGTTTTTACAGGATGTGAGAAACGATCAGCCAGGCGGCTACGGAAGTAGTTCGCTGATTTATTGAGTTGATCAAATAATGATCCCGGACCTGACGTTTAACTGACAGGGAACCTCAGTGGAAATGTTACCCGACTGATTTATTCACTTTATGGCCACTAGCGGTTAGCAAGGAGCTAATCTTCGCTGGGAAAACAGTTAGCACGGCTAGCGGCTAGCGTTAGCCCGAGAGGGCTCCAGAGAGAACAACGGTTACCTGCGGGCTGTCCTCCAGCGCCTCCTCCAGCGGAAGCTTCTCTATCCCGGGCATGGCTGCGCCTGGCGTGTCGGTACTCCGTGGGAACAGACGGAAAAACGCTCCAGAAATCGGCCCGACAACTCCCACTCAAGATTTCTTCTCTCCACAACACCCCAAGAACAGCTCCTCCTCCCGTTCACTTGCCCCGCCCTTAAGTAGATTTTGATTGGCTGTGAGGATATTTGTGCAGCTGTGATTGGCTGCGTGTTTAAATTACACAGGCGCCATGTTGGCTCCTGAGATGCTCGTGATTTATTGTTACTGATCCCAACTGAGAGCCAAAATGAAGGTTTTAATTAGGTAAAGGTCTTACGTCCACATTTTGTTAAAAAATAAATAAATAAGTAAATAAAATTAAAATAATAAAATAAAAAATAAAAAATTATATATATATATATATATATCAAACAAAATAAAAACTATTTAAACAAAATGGAATGATTAAAATAAAAACTATTTAAACAAAATGGAATGATTATATAATGTTTTTATTTTTTATTTTTAACTATTATTATTCCAGCTGAGAGACATAGTCTCTCCAGTGTGTCCTGGGTCTTCCACAGGGTCTCCTCCCCGTCAGACATGCCCAAACCACCGCTCTATGGAGGCGCCCAGTTGCCAGAACCACCTCACCTGGCTCCTCTTAATGTAGAGGAGCAGCAGTTCTACTCAGAGTCTCTCCTGATAACTGAACTTCTCACCCTATCTCGCGAACAAAACCCTAAGATACTTGAACTCCTCCACTTTTGACCCGAAAAGAGCACCATTTTCCAACCAAGGACCTCAGATTTGGAGGTGCTGATCCTCATCCCAGCCGCTTCACACTCAGCTGAGAACCACTCCAGTGAGAGCTGAAGATCATGACACGATGACGCCAACAGGACCACATCATCTGCAAAGAGCAGAGAAGGAATCCTGAGGCCACTGAACCGGACTCCCTCCACCGAGAAATCCTGTCCATAAAAGTTATGAACAGAATCGATGACAACTGGAAGCCCTGGTGGAGTCCAACTCCCACCCTGAAGGAGTCCGACTTACTACCGGCAATGCGACCCAAACTCTCGCACCGCTTGTATAGGGACTGAACAGCCCGTAACAACGGGCCCCCAATCCCATACTCACGGCGCACCCCCACAGTGTACCCTGAGGAACACGGTCGAATGCCTTCTCCAAGTCCACAAAACACATGTAGACTGGATGGACAAACTCCCATGACCCCTCGAGGACCCTTGTGAGGGTAAAGAGCTGGTCCAATGTTCCACGGCCAAGACGGAACCCACATCGTTCCTCCTGGATCTGAGGTTCAACCAACGATTGGACTCACTTCTCCAGTACCCCTGAATAGACCTTACCAGGGAGGCTAAGGAGAGTGATGCTCCTGTAATTGGAGCACACCCTCCAGTCCCCCTTTTTGAAGAGGGGAACCACCACCCCAGTCTGCCAGTCCAGTGGCACTGTCCCCGATGTCCACGCAACGTTGCAAAGGCATGTCTTCCAAAACAGCCCCACAACATCCAGAGCCTAAAGGAAATCAGGGTGAATCTCATCCACTCCCAGAGTCCTGCTGCCGTAGAGCTTTTTAACTACCTCAGCGACCTCAGCCACGGTTATGGACGGTCCAACCCCGAAGTCCCCAACTCGGCTTCCTCCATGGAAGACGTGCTGGTGGGACTGAGAAGGTCCGAGAAATATTCCTTCCACCTCCCGACGAAGTAAATAAAAAGTTTTTACACTTATCCAACACATTTTAAAACTCAGTTTCTGCACTGAAACATTATCAAGCTTTTTTTAACATCCTTTTAAAAAAATCTGTTTTATATGAGTATTTACGATATTGTTTATTTGTTCTGGTTATGCATTTAGTTTATCAACTCTCAAATTTTATTATTTTTTTTAAATACAATTAAATAAAAGTTAAAGAGTTCCATTGGTTTCTTGTTTTGTCTGCTTGAATTTAATTTAATTTTTAACATGTTTTATTAATTTATCTTATAGTTTTATTTTCAGGACCTCAGGGGTCCATAATTTTGTATTTATAGTAAAAAAAACAGTCTTTGTTTAAAGTTTAATTCAGATTAGAGGTGAGATTTGATCAGTTTTCAAAATGTTATAATTAGTTTTTCTAATTTAAGTTTAGTTTGCAGGAGTGTAAACAGCTGGCTGTGTTTAAATCAATATTTATATAATTACCTCTTTAATAATAAAAAGACAAATTTATATTTATCTTTGATTCTGTTCATAATGTTCCAGAAAAATCAGCCGCAGTGAGTTCCATTTTTGCTGAGACTGATGCAAAGAGGTTAAATGTTTGCTGTCATCAGGGTTCGGGTCTTTGGATCCGTGATTTGTGGCGTTTCGATGTGTTTCGGATCAAAGAAACTCCGTTAGATCTTCAGAAACTGAAAACACGTTTGTGGTGTCAGCTGGAACTAATGGTGACGTGTTCCTTCTGAGTTGCGACTGATGGAGAGCCAGGTAATAATCCACACAGAAGCCTCGAAAACATTTAATGTAACAACAAACGATTGAACGCGATCTTCACGTGAAATGTGAGTAAAGTTTTAAAGTCTTAGCTCAGCACGACCTGCAGGGTCAGGGGTGAGGCCCACGAGGAAACAGCCGCTCCACCAGCTCGTAGTGTCCGATGAGCAAACAGCAGCTCAGGCTGCAGCGAGGTCTGTTGATGTGAGACACCTGGCACCACATGTGGGCGTCCTGGTCGTAGCACTCCACAGACGACAAAAAGCCGTACCTGTTGCACCCTCCAACCACAAAGAGCTGCTCCTCCAACACCTCCAGGCCAAAGTTTCTGCGGTGGAAGCGCATGGACGGCATCAGTTGCCACCGGTTGGTGCTCGGATTGTAGGCCTCCACGCTGCGCAGGTTGCTGATCCAGTTCACACAACCGCCAACCTGAAGACAGGAAGTGGAGTGTTTGTGAAGGGTATTGTGCACATGCTGCGTCAGCATTTACATTTTCATGCTGTCAAAACTTTCAGCTCAGAAGATGTTTGATTACTTTTGTTTTCTGTAACTTTTATACTTTATCTGCTTCTAATGGCTTGGTTTATTTTTGTCCTTTTAGGTTACTTTTAGCTTTAGGCTAGTGTTTAGCTACTTGTAGCTTTCAGTTAGCATTTCACTACTACTAGCATTTAGCTAGCCTGGATGACCTTTCACTAGTTTTAGCTTTTAATTGGCTTTTTGTTGTTTTATATTTTAGTTAGCCTTTTGTAATTTGTAACTTTTCACTGATCTTATGCTGCTTTAATTAATAATTAGCCTTTTGCTACTTTTTGTGAGCCTCTTGCTACCTTTAGCTTTTAGAAACAATTTGCTGTTTTAGCTAGAATTGAGATAAATTTAACTTTTAACTTGCCTTTTGTCACTTTCAGCTTTTAATTCCAGCATTTAGCTTTTGGCCAACCTTTTGCTACATTAGGATTTGAGATAGTCTTTTGATCATTAGCTTTTAGTTAGTATTTAGCTACTTTTAGCTTTTAGCTAGCATTTTGCTACTTTCAGCTTTAGCGATCGTTTTCTTTCTTTTAGCTTTTAGTAAATCTTTTGCTGTTTTTAAATAGTGTAGTAGTTTTTTAGTTTTTAGACAGTGTTTTGCTACTTTTACCTTCTAACATACATTTACTACTTAACACTTTTTTTTTGCTACATTTAGCTTTTAGCTAACTTTCTTGCTACTATTAGCTGGCAGTCTGCTAATTTTGTCTTTACATACAGTTCAGCTTTTTTAGCGTTTGGTGAACTTGTTTGCTAATTAGCTAGAATTTAGCTAATTTAACTTTTAACTAGCCTATAGTTAATTTTAGCTTCTAAATAGCATTTAGCTTTTAGCCAAATTTTGCTGGATTTAGCTTTAAGGTAGCCTTTTGCTAGATTTAGCTTTTAGCTAGCATTTTGCTACTTTGAACCTTTTTTTGAACCATTCTCTTTCATTTGGTTTTAACTAATGTTCTACTTCTTTTAGCTTTTAGTAATCTTTTGTTTTTGTTGTTAGCATTTTACTATCTTTACTACCTTTTTTTTCAGGTCTCTCTTGTAAACGAGTCTCCGAGGCTCAGTGAGACTAACCTGTATAAATAAAGGTTGAATGAATTTAGCTTTTAGCTAGTTTTTTTTGTTGCTACTTTAGCTTTACAATGTTCTCTATTAATATTTTTGGAGTAAATACGTCGTTATCTTTTCATACAGTTATTTCTGGACTCTCATCGTTGAGCCTGATCACACTCACTGCGTAGATCTGGCCTTTATAAGCGGCGACCCCCAGACAGTTTCGGTAGCATCTCATTGGGGCGATCCTGGTCCACTGGTGGCTCTCTGGGTTGTAGAACTCAGCCGCGTAGAGGGCGTAAACCCCATTGAAACCTCCACAGATGTAAACCTGCAGGCGAGATAACATAGATGTGTTTCACCAGCGTTGTCACAAGCGCACAGGATCATCCGTGAATTTTCACGCACCTTTCCGTGCAGAGACGCTGCACCGGCCCCGCTTCTCCTGTCATGCATTGGCTCTATCATGGTCCATCTGTTGGTGCCAGGATCGTAGCGCTCGGCGGTTCTGTGGTGAACGTATCCATGTGAACCCCCCATCGCATAAATGCAGCCATCGAGCACAGCGACGCTGACGGAGCAGCGTGGGAAATTCATGGAGGCCACGTTCTCCCAGGTAAAGGTGACGAAATCGAACCTTTGCACGGTACTCAAATGATCCCCCTGGTTGTAGCCGCCAACCAAATACACAAACCTGTCCAGGAACACAGCGCCATGATTGACAACTGAGACCGCAGAGTTCAGACTGGCCCAGGCGTCAGTCCGGACGTCATACAGCTCGAAGATTTGAGCAGCATCAGGGCCATAACAGTAGCCTCCTGTGACCAGTAAAACTACGGGAGGGAGGCGAGGCTGGCTTGTCGGGCCCTTGGGGACCAAACTCCAATTTGTCTCACCACCAAAACCCGTCACTTTGTCCAGGGCGTCACTGATGATCGACAGACACTTGGCGTTGTTTTTGATCAGGGTGTTTTGCTTGACCTTCTTCAGGTATTGTGCAGACATCAAGTCAAGACGCACCTGGAGAAACAAACGTTGGGTCAAAATGTGATCAGTGGTTTTAGTTTTAGATCAGTGGTTCTCAAAGTTTCCTGCCTTCGACTCAAAAACCACCGCTGGAGAGACTCTCGACCCCATCTACTCCACCAAAGGACACAAAGGCCCTTCCCAGAAGATTCGACTCGACCCGGCGCGGTTCCAAGGCTTTTTCACAAGCAGCGGTTCATGAAACCGGTCCCTTACATTGCTCATAAACCACGAGTAGTTTAACCTTCAATCCTAAAACATTTTTTTTCAATAAAAAAAGCTCACAGAATAAGTAGCTAACAAGTGATAATAATCTTAGTGATAATCTGCTTGAAGCCACAGCTTAACAGGTGCAGCAAGCTCTTGCCCACTGACCGCTGGAGGTAACAACAACAAAATGTTAACTTAAAGTATCAAAATGTTACCTAAAATGTCAAAGCACCAAAATGTTAGCTACAATTAGCAAAAATAATAAGGGTAGAATAGCAATAGCTAAAAGTAGTGACAGACTAGCTAAAAGCTAAAGGTAGCAAAACGCCATCTTAAGTGTCAAATGACCACAAGGTTAGCTGAAAGTAGTATAACAATAGGTAAAGCTAAAAGTAGCAATAGGCTATCTAAAAGCTAAAAGTAGCAAAACACCATCTAAAATTTCAAAGCACCAAAATATTAGCTAAAAGTAGCAAAATAATAAAGGTAGCATAACAATGGCTAAAAGTAGTAAAACACCATCTAAAGTGTAAAAGGACCACAAGGTTAGCTAAAAGTATCAAAATGATAGATAAAGGTAGTATAATTAATTAATAAATTTATTAATCCCAAAGGGAAATTAATTAAGTATTTTTGAATTGATTTGATAACAATAAGCTAAAAGTAGCAAAATGCTAGCTGAAGCTAAAAGTAGCAGAAGAAAACTAAAACGGAGGTGTACGCTGAAAAGTTTCATCGTGAACATTTTAAAATTAATTAAGATATATCTTTGTACAGTAGTCCCTTGCTATGTTGCGGTTTGTTTTTCACGGACTCGCTATCACAGTTTTTCAAAATAAAATTGGACATGACACACAATTGGCTGATTGATGGATGAGTCGCACGATCGGCATGGAGTTTTTATTTAAAATAAATTGTTTAAAATTATTTAGAGCCTGTTGCACCTTTGTGCAGTGCACACTGCAGGAGAAACGTCCTCCTGCAGCTCCTCCTCCTCCCTCCTCCTCAGTGATCTCCGTTCTGCTGCGGAGAAGTGGGCGTGGCCTAGAGCAAAGAGTGCAGCTGTGGCATAAAGCTGAAATCATGACATGCTGTGCTCTTTTAGAGCGTTTAAAGTTAAGAAGCATTGTTTACAATATTGCAAGGATGTCGGAAGGGTTTAAAACACCTTTATATGTATATGTATATAT